CGAAAACGGGAATGCATCTACCCGGGTAGATGGGTAGATGCATTCCTGTTTTCTATTGCGAGAACAGAAACGCCCACACGCGTACGCGCGCGCGCAAGAGAGAGAGGCGGGAACTTCGACGACCTGCATGGAGGGCCGTGGCAAATTCGCCGCCCCCCCCCTCTCTCTCTCTCTCTATCTATCTATCTATCTATCTCTATCTCTCGTACGTGCACAGGCATTTCCGTTCTCGCTATAGAAAATGGGAATGCATCTACCCACCTGCCTGGGTAGATGCATTCCCGTTTTCGCAATAGAGAACGGAAATGCCCGCCAGAGCGTTCTACACACACACACACACACAGAGAGGGGCGGCGAATTTGCCATGGCTCTCCGTGCAGGTCGCCGCCTCTCTCTCTCTCTCTCTCTCTCTCTCTCTCTCTCTCTCTCTCTCTCTTGTTTTCGAAGTAAAAAAGGGGAATGAATCTTCCCGCTTTCGCAGGAAGATGCATTCCCATAATCCCAATTTATCAGCTCTCTCTCTCTCTCTCTCTCTCTCTCTCTCCCCCACGTCTCCCCACGCATGCCTTTTTGTTTTTGACCGTTTTTTTATTTTTTCTTTCGTTTTTCACATCTGAATTCCTTTTTATTTTCTTTTGTTTTTCAGATCTGGACTCCCTTTTTTTCCTGTGTGTCATGCCTGGAAGCACGGAGCCCAGCCATTCCGCAACGACCGGACCTTCCCTTGGCCGACCCCCTAAGGCTGCAGCGCGTTAATGGGGAAGGCCCGCGGCCGATGTATGGCCCAAGTACTGGTGGTTTAAAGGCAACACCCAGCGGCCGATGTATGGGCCGGGGAATCGGTTCGAAAGGCTGTGTGGCAAAAATGTCCATTTTTCGTGTTTCGAAAGACTGTGTGAGGAGCCCCATCCTCAGCTGAGCCACACTACTCTCCACATGCAGAAAAGAAATAAGAGTGAATGCTCCGCCCGAACATGCCCAGAAACACCTCCATATTTTTTGTCTTTTGTGCATGTGCTGTGGAGAGCGGCGATTATGCACGTCGTTTCACTTTTTTCGTTTATGTTTTTGTCTTGTTCTGCCACCACTGCCATGCGGTGGGTTCCTTAGGGCGTGGCTCCACCACTCACGAAATGTGTACATGAATAATGAATCTACTGCTAAAAACATGGCAAGATGCAGCTGGCAGAAACGACAAAAACAGAAGAAAAGCCAAACAACATGCAGTATGGTGGCATCAATAAAGGCCTCCTTCCACTACTCACATATGCAGACCATAATGAATCTACCCCTAAACATGGCAAGATGCAGCTGGCAGAAACGACAAAAACTGAAGAAAGCCAAACAACGTGCAGTGTCGTGTCAGAAAATAAGAAAGGAAACAACGAAAGGCTGTGCCCCAAAAATATTGCAGTGCATCTTCCCAGGTTTGACGAGAAGATCCATACAAAGCCAAAAAAACAAAAACCACGAAACGCTGTGCAGTGCCCTGGCAGGACCAAAAGCACCCGCCTGACGGCATAAAACCTCCCGCACAACAACAACAACAACAACAAAAAAAAAAAAAAAAAAAAAAAAAAAAAAAAAAAAAAAAAAAAAAAAAAAAAAAAAAAGCCTTCCGCCGCTATGTACTCGTATTCAAACATGCTGCAGCAGATTTGCAAACCCTCAAACCAATGCGGCCCACACATCGCCACGGGCCCAAGAGGGAAATACCATTTCCCAAGAGTGTAACCCTGGCCTTGCGGGACCGTAAGGCGAGACCCTGCTTACACTATAATAAGAGTATAATATAATGTATATTGTCACACAGTGACTCAGAGCGCAAAGGCGAAAAAAAGCAAAACAAGGAAAGGAAAAGAAGGAAGGAAGGAAGGAAAGCCCCACCTGTTCATCACCTCGTACATGCAAGGCCAGCCACGTGGATGACAGGTTGAGCGCTGGCTGCCCCCATCCGCGTGTGTCACAAGGACCCACTTGCACGCAGCCAAAAGGCAAAGAGGTAATATATATATAGATAGATAGATAGATATGTGCGACATTCCTCAAGGCGTGAGGTTGGGTTTGCATCCTACTCCCTGAAGTAGTGACGCTGGGTTTGCAGCCTAGTCCTGGGTTTGCATCCTAGTCCCTAAAGTTGTGACACTGGGTCTGCAGCCTAGTCCCCCTTACTTTGTGAGGCAGGCTGGGTTTGCAGCCTAGTCCCTAAATTTGTGAGCCTGGGTTTGCAGCCATGTCCCTAAAGTTGTGAGGGTGGGTTTGCATCCTAGTCCCTCAAGTTGTGAGGGCGCTTTTGCATTCTAGTCTAGTGCAGCCAGGAGCTGGCAAAAAGTGCTCTCTCATACATTTACGGCAATGAGAACAGGAGGCTACTGCTGCACATGGGCCTGGCCACACCACTCTCGAAATGTGAAAAAGACAAAAATGTGGCAGGTGCATCTGGCCATGTTCTAGCGGCCAGTTCATTCTCATTTTGCACATTTCGAGAGTGGTGCGGAGATGCCCTATGTCTGCTTCGAGCAAGAGTCTGGATGCAAGTCACACATCAGAGGTATGGTTGCTTGTCATCGCAAATGGGAGCCGCCGAATTAGACGATTAGAGGAAAAGACGTTATCTTACGGGCGGGGGGTCCACGATGATGATGACGACGCGGATGATGATGAATGGGGAAGGAATCCGGACGAGGACAATGAAGATCACTAGCATTATTTATCACTGCAATCAGGAATAGGACAATGATGATCACTAGCATTATTTGACACTACAATCAGGAATAGCCGAATGGTGGTCAAATCGCCAAAAATGATCATATCTCAGAATAGCCATATAGACGAAAATGATCTTATCTGGGAGTGGCCGAATAGCCGAGGATAGACGAAAATGATCGTATCTAAAAATAGCCGAGGAGGAGGATATTGATGAAGATGATGACGACCATGCCAATGAGGAGGGCCAGGAAGAGGAGGAGGAGGAAGAGGAGGAGGAGAAATGATCTAACCTTACCGCGTGAGGAGGAGGACGAAGAGCAGGCTGAGAACCGATCTCATCCGACTGGGTGAGGAGGAGGAGGAGGATTATGAAGATGATGAGGAGCATGCGGGGGAGCAGCGGCAGCAGGAGGGTGAAGAGGAGGCCAACAACTCAGAACTGCATGATACAGGAAGACCATCGGAACTGAATCAAACTAGAGAGAGGAGGTATGGATTGGTGGGTGTTTCCTGGTGGTGTACATACAGTAGAGAGGCGAAGACATCAAGACAGAAAAGAACAGCGGAGTTAGAGATGAAGACATGAGGAGATCTTTGGGGGGGACGGGGGGGGGGGGAGAGGAGAGGGAGAGGGAGGAAGTACGTAAAAGGTGGGCGATATGATACACTTACCTTGACAGATACGAAGAGAGTGAAGCCCTCCCATTTGTAGCAAACATCGGGGCCACGTTTTGGTCGAGACCAGTGGGGACCACAGCTAAGATTAAGTGAAGAAACTTCAAAACGTGGAACGACACTTGAACAGCCACCAATGCATAAGAGCACTACTACCTAGGGCATACTCAGACTAGGACATTTCGGGACGAATCTGACCGCAATAACAACCGCATTCAGTCGAGGCAGTCCTAGTCTGACATGACAAGTCCCAACGATGATGGCTGAGAACATACTAAAAGTTGAGGAAAGCAAGTGTTCAAACCAAGCGTCAAAACCGACCCACACACATCACTTCCAACACACACACACACACAAAAAAAAAAAAAAAAAAAAAAAAAAC